ATGCCAGCCTAGTAGCACGCTTAAATTCATGGAGTCTGGGAACTAGCGATAGTAGCAGTTACCGTAAAATTATTTGTAGAAAAGACAGAGGGAGGCGACGCCACGTCTGTGAGAGAGCGACTGAAGATGAGATGCCAGATCAGGACCAACCACATTGCTTATCCGTCTCTGGATCTTGTCGAGACACCAGACCATATATGGAAGCAGTATTCCATGCCAGGGCAAATGGTTGATTTGTAAGTGTTGATAACATGGTGGTGTCCTTCTGCCGTTTATACTTCCACATTCTTCTTTTGGCCTCTCTGTCTCACATATCAACATTCACTGCGGACTGATTGTTACTACTGTAGGCGGGACTGAGCAGTGTTTTCGTTGATGGAAATTATAATGTTCGATTTAGTAAAGAAAAGTGTACTGAACTGTTACATGACATCTGTCCTCCTGTATGGCAGTGAATGCTGGACAATCTCCTCAAAGATTTAGAATAAACTTGTAGCAACAGACATGCTACAGTTACCATGAACCAAATATGAGCAACAATGAAGGTTTAAAGAAAATAGAAACAAAAAAGAAGCATACTTAACATAATGAATAGAAAGTCAAAATTTCGAGGACCCCTAATGTGAAAAAATCTGATTGTCGCAGGAGAAATTCAAGGTAAGAGCAAAACAACGTATAATATATTTAGTGAGTTTCAATAAATGCATGTTTACGAGAAATTACACAAAAATAAAATTTATTATTTGACTACGAACGACAGGAAATTGTGGAGAGCCATTATCGCCTAAATCCTGAAGGAACACCGTACATAAAGCAGCAGAAAAATAATGGATAACATGAAAGGAGACAAAATGCAGTACTAAATTACGGCAGAGAATATAGGTCAGTGCATAAAAAAGGGAATTATTTCGGTGCAATTCCTCTTTTATACAAGTTTCATTAAAGATGGCTGATAAGGTAGTACGATTAAGCTTCTTATATATATATATATATATATATATATATATATATATATATATATATATGTGTGTGTGTGTGTGTGTGTGTGTTTGTGTGTGTTTCAACAATAAAAAAGATTAAAATCTTCAGACTCACTGGGTTGTATATTAATATTCTTTCGTTTTTATTATTTCAGTTAGATTCCTCGACTAGTTTCGACCAACATGGCCATTATCAAGTGAAAAATAAATTGTCTGCTTGCTAGTAGCAGTGAACTAAAGAAATGAATGTCTTGGTGGAGAAAATGAACTTTTGTCTGTAGTTTTCATTTACTTTTTTATTTTTTTAACATGAATTTTGGTCAGAACATGTGTTGGTAAGAAAACAGCTGTATTGATTCATGCTGATCTCATTTCCCTTGGTCACTTTGACAGTTTTATTGGTTCCTGGAAAGGGGATGTGTCTCTCTTAAGTGTGTGTGTTATTTGGTTCTTAGGGAGTTTGTGAGTATGATGTGTGTAAGTGTGTATATTACTATGGGGGTGTGTTATCATTTGGCTCATTAGGGAGTGAGTGAGAGTGAGTGTGATATGTGCAAGTGTGTATGTTCGTGTGGGTGTGTGTATAAGTGTGAGGACTCAACAGCTCCGCAAGCATATCTGTCTTCTGTGGATGAGAAATGTGGGTAGGTCCGGATTTGTGGGATTATTTATTAATACTATCTATATTGTTAAATTTGTGATTAAGCCCGTTTGGGTAGTGCATTTTTAAACGCTGAATCCTCTTATTTTTATGTCACTCTAAAATGTTTCTAATGTTATCTGCTCTGAACTTTTTTATTCTTTCAATTATAGTGAATTTGGCATGGGTTTTAAAATCGTGTTTTTGTAGGCGGAAATGTTGTTCTACAGGTAATAATCTTTCATTAATTCGATTGCGATAATTATTAATTCTATAGTGTAAGGGCCATTCAGATTTTCCTACATATATATATATATATATATATATATATATATATATATATATATTACCCATTACTTGCTTTGATTTCGATGGTCTTTAAGGAAGAAAATATTGTCTTCGTCAGTTATTATCGATATCTATTTAAACATGTGGATCCACAAAATTTCGAACTGAAAACTTAATTCGCGATACATAAATACATGCATATAGAAATATACACACCATATATATATATATATATATATATATATATATATATATATATATATATATATAGCGCTATCTGCAGCCTTTAATTTTATAAGCTTTTGTATATCTTTCTCATTCGCAAATTGATACCACACTTTTCAGACTGTTTTGATTACTTAGTTGAAATCAAAATTCCATCTATACTTACTAAAAAGAAACTCTAATTATTTCATTAAATGCTGATTTTTACAATCTTTAACTTGTAATGTGTATTGTTTCCCTAAATTAGACATATTTCAAACAGCACCGAGATTGAATAATTATATATGTACATTAATTCCACGTAAGGAGATAAGACATGGCCTGCTATAGCCTAAATCTCTCCAGAACATTTTTTTCTGTTTTGGTTTTCGTTTCATGTCCTTTGAAAATCGCACAAAATGATTGGTTTCTTGTCAAATGCATGTCTATACTCGATTCTCGCTAATAGAATTGTTTTCATTTTGACTTTCTCGCGAAAACTTAGGTTTCTATACTAAATTACATTAATGTCATCACAAAATGGTAATGTACCTGATAATACTCTTGATAGGTAAAGTTGACATGCGGAAGGAGAAAAGGATTGTTGATTGGAATTAATTTCTGGGAATTGTCAGACAAAAGTGTAAAACACTTTCCATAAATGAAATATTAAAGTTTGGTAAAGGTCGTTTATTTAAAATTAGGATACTGAAAACCTACACAGTCGGTTACCATGGGAAAATACTAAAAACAAAATTCTTCAATTTTTTTTAAAAAAAAGGTAGAATAAAAATCTGATTAAAAAATATGAAGACATTTTTAGTCTAGATGTTCTGGCCAGTTTAAAATCGCCGTTTTGCAATCTTAAATTTTAGTATTAAACACAGTGCATACACAAAATCATTAAATTGATACAAAAATTATTCAAATTAGAATGGAAATTGAATACTGTTGAAATGTTTGCATAATATGAATTAAATAGTGAAGATTTTATACAAATAGTTAATAAATATCTATATTGGGCTCCTTTGATGCAAGAAGGTCATCTAATCGATATTCAATTTCTGTCCATGTCTGAAACATAAAAGAAACATAAAAGAAACATTAATTACTCTATGAAATATGGCACTTTTTATCTCCAAAATTGATCATATTTCGCTTTTCTTTAAATTAAATACCACATGAAACACGTAATAGAATATTTCTTATGAATCTTCGATTTTTACGAAGTTCATTTTAGTTAATTTCAATATATAGCAGTCTATTTTGGCATTTTTTATAATCTATTCTTACTTTTCTCCAATGTGACAGCCACTAAAATGCAATATGATTACCTTCATCAAGTAAGAGAAATAATTTTATTTGCTTTTATCTTACTTATCGTCAATGACACAACATGAATTTCTAGCAAACATATCTGAATCAATTTCCTGATGCACTGGGATTCACGTCCACTACGACGGTTTAATCTTTTTTTTTGTTTATAAACGAATTTAAATTACATTTGAAATATGCACACATATAATCACGATTCCATGACACGTAATACTTTAGGGTGATATGGGCGCCACCATGTACTTCAGCCGCAATAGAAGTGGTGTTTTCTGGGCAAGAATATCATGGCTGAACCGAACCCTCTCAAGGCTGGTTTGAATTCAGAATTTTCTTTTTTTCTAGTCTCATCACAAACGAAGATTGTAGGAGAGAGAGAGTATATCCTAAGATTTACCTATACAATTAGGATAGGACAGTGACTAAATTTATTAGTTTAAAAAAAATTTGAAACACAAAGTTATTTTCCTTTCACATGATCTGTAGCCCAACAGCAGCCCTTTTACAATAACGAGTTATGTGAGGAATATTCTCAAAAATCTGCCGCAGTTATTTTATGAACTGGGCATTTTCTATATACCCATTAAATATTTTGGGGCGACCCTACACAATAGGTTTAATGCTACGTTACATCCTTGTGTAATGCGGTATATATACATACATATTTTTGTAAGTGTTCTGTCGCTTCAATACGTGGGTGATCATAGCTCTCCAAAATTATTCCTTTTATCTCTTAGTAAGTTTACCCTTTCGGTAACTCTCCTAAGGCTTACGGCCACATCACGTTGAAAACACAGATTCCCGTACGAATACCGAAATTAAGCAAAGTCGAACCTGGTCAGTATCTAGATGGATGACATTACTTCATAGAGTGACAAAAGTGAACAGTCCATCCTACAAGATTCGAATCGAGTGTTTTTTTTTTATAACACGAGTCGAGGCTAAATCTGATTCCAAAGGGTCATCTCACAAGGCCATAACGCTGTTTTCCTTTGCGAATATATCTTAACTAGATATAAAAATAATATCCGGTTTGCAGTGCTCATGCTGGGGAAAATACTGTTTGAAAAAGTGTCATCGTTAGTGACATAAAAGATAAAATCGACCCGTTCGAATCCCCGTTTGAAATCTTAAATATGGCTTCTACAAAAGACCCTAAACATTTTCGTCACTTTTTCAATACTTGTGATATAAATGTGTTATAATTTTTCTGTATATGAACACTTGTATATATTTGTATATAATTTCCTTTACGATTTGAATTACAAATGTCCCTCTGGGAACAAAGCATGTTTGTCATTCCTTTTCTTCAGATGGGCCATGCCATCAGGACATTACGATGTTATTATGAATATAAAAATGGCTATAATGGGTGTAATGCAGTAGGGAATATATTTTCCCGTATGGAATCTCTATTTCTACCTATTATCAAACGGCATGGATCTTATAAAAGCACGCCTTTTGGACTTCAATTACGTCTTAATTTTTTCCTTTGTACATTGCTGGACCTAATATCTGATTCCCATTGATATTATTATGCTAACAGATAAATAAACATACGGCCATATCGCGTTGAAACACCGGTTCTCAGCCGATCACTGAAGTTCAGCAACATTGAGACATATTAGTACCTAGATGGGTAACTTCTTGGGAATACTGTCTGATGTAAGCTTGAATGTGCGGATGGTATGGCGGATAAAAGAATAGGAAATCGGAGAGCAGAGCTCGAATTTTAGTTATGTACTTTACTTAATCTTGGGGAAACTATGAATTCATGCCTTCTTCACCCAACAGCTATTGATTAATTATATGAAGAGGCTGGATTATATAGCCTTTGTTAGCAACCAGTCTATGATAGAAAGCAACGGTAACTTACAGTGGTTATTATTGTGCCAAATCTAAAATTTAAAAAAAAAACGAGACATGAATATTCAAGCATGCATCCACGCATGCTACGTAAGAAATTCATATAAAGAGTTTATTCCATTAATCGGATTAAACGAAACATTAAAGAGCAAAAACGATTGTGATAAAAGAATGCATTAAAATTTCCCCAATTTTTATTTTATGGATTTGGGGCGTGCATTGTCATTGTGAAGGAGGGAATTTTCTTTTAAGATAATCAGGGCAATTTCGCTTAGATATTACTTTTTTATTTAAAAATTAATAATAATAATAATAATAATAATATATTCTAAAAAAGGAATAATATTAAATATTGTTAGCAAATAACAATCCAATGTTCTTGCAAAAGACGATGCTACTCATAATCCAATAACTGATCATAAAATCTAGCAATTGTTAATAACAACGATATTAGCTACTATGTTTCACAGACATTGCAAAATGTTGTGATTTCGATCGTCATCAGGAACATCGCATATGCAAACTTGTATGAAGCTTAATAGACTTTTACGAAGAAATGAAAATTATTTTAGGAAGAAAATCCAGTGTAAAATGGAATGGAAGTATGATAAATAATATGAAAAAAAAGATCAAGTAAAACATTAATTAACGATTATGAACCAGTGACTGGAAAGAAACTCTATTTAGGAAACAAAGCCAGTGTAAAATAGAAGAAAAGTATAAGAAAAATATGAAAAGAAGATAAAATTTACAAAGAGAATTAAGGAATTCGGAGAATGACAAAATGCAAGATAAGAAATGTTTAAGAAAAAGTTTAAGAATAATTCAGAATGAAGTTGTTCAAAAAATGATATGAAAAATATTTTAGGAAGAAAGACCAATGGGAGAAAGAAGATAAAACAATGCAAGAAATCGTATGGAAAAAGGAAGTTCTATAAAGAGTATTAAGAAAGAATGGACTCAAAGGAAGATATGATGAGAAAGAGTTTTAAGATGAAAGTTCAGAAGATAAGTGTATTGCATGAAAAGAATGATAAAATGTTGAAAGACAATCAAGAATAAAAGAAAGAAAATGGAAAATAGAAAATAAGAGCCTTAAGACATTGACTGCAAATGTTTTTTTTTTCCAGAAAAAGATGGTTTGCCATACTTGGAAATTTGAGTGCAACACGATTGTCTAGTCAGCATTCATCCCTACCCCAATGCTTATCATTAGAACACGAAACTAGAACAGAATAAACATACAGGAAAACATTTTGTGTCATTGTACATGTTTCTCAGAAAATAGGGGATGGTAGATGAGAATACACGAGGCGAATATTTTGGGCAAAAACATAACATTTCGGATACAATTTCAATTTAAGAAGATCTATTTGCATAATGTTTTAGAGATTATGTAAGCTAAAATGTTTTCTTAATATGGTGTCCTTTTATTACAATGCTGTTCGCCCTGCACAAGGCGCAGCTACAGGTTTACAGAGTAAAAGGCATCATCACCCTAAGCAAGGTGACAATGCAACCAAAACGCAAGGAGCCACCAGAAATAAAAGAGAAGGAAAATGCTTTAGAGGGAACAGGAAGGCCAATCCAAAGTAAAGAATAAGGGATACACTTCTACTCCTTTTCTAAACTCTGGGGAGGAGTTTGTACCGTGCAATAGGAAAAGCTATCTGCTCCTACTGAGAAAAGAAGCAAATAAATAGAAAAAAAATTTGGAGTTCTCGGTGGAGACATGAGAAGTACAGAGTTGAAGTAGACATCAGGATTGGGTTTCCGGTTACTTCTAACCAGGAAACGAGGAAATGAAGTAAGTCGACAATTTATTTCTAAAAACAAGATTCTCCCTGTAAAAGGTTAACCTGGAGTATACGAGTTATGAACCGGGATAAAGAGCTAAAAACCGCGAAACTCCTAGTAGTTTCAAAAGTGTTAACAGGTGGGTAATTCGCTTCAGGGGCCGAGTTTGCTAATATTTGGTTGATGAAGAATTTATTTAGTGATGCTTCTGTGACTTTTTTTAATTGCACGTTCAGTTATTAGTGTTTAAGAAGGAAATTTTATCTGACGTAATGTGCTTTAGTGTTCTTCGATAAAAAAAGGATAGAGAGGCCGAAAAGTGAGCGTAGACATTTAATAAAGTCAAATTAGTTTGGCACAAGGCCACAAGTATATTGATCATATAATGAGGATCGAACTGGCTAATCAATGATGATCAATCTAAATCGCTCACTAAACTTAAACCTACACCGAGGTATACACGTATATATTTATCCGCACGTCCATTCAATTAGAATGTGTCACAAAGCTGAGTTTAGAGTGCAATTTGTTTATTGTTTTATAGTGTGTAGCGCGATGCAAACTGCTTCTGTTTTTTCGCTTTCGCTATTATAAGAATGCTCCCCTTACTTTTGCAACAATATAAAATTGTTTCGATACAATAAGCGCAGGGAATGTTGAAAATTAAAAGAAATAAGTTAATGCTAAATTGATAAAAATTATTTAAACAGCCTTTTACCACTAAAATATTGGTTCTCAACAACCATGCTGCCGCTTACGAATGCGCCGTGCTATCCTTTTAAGTGTGCAGCGTAATTTTGTTCATATATATATATATATATATATATATATATATATATATATATATATAAGCAAGTGTAAATGGATATAAATCCGACAGAATGAAGAAATTTTGAAAAAACAAACAAAAATCCTTAAATGTAGTTAAAATGAAAGAAATGAGACGTCGACATTTCTTTCATTTTAACTATATTTAAAGATTTTTTATTTGTTTTTTCAAAATTATTCATATATATATATATATATATATATATATATATAAAATATATATATTCCCAAGGACAAAAAATCGTCCCTGCCGACGTCTTAGTGGTAGAATCTTCAGCCAGGTTTCGATCCTCGCAAGAGGCAACAGGACGTCGAGCCGGACTGAAACTGTGAACAGCAAAACAGTCTACAGCAAAATATATATATATATATATATATATATATATATATATATATATATATATATATATATATGTGTGTGTGTGTGCAAATAGTAATGATACACATTAGTATTTTGAGTAAAATTCTTTTCACTATTTTTCAATTATATTTTAGATGTATTTCCTTCAATGCTTATTACCTGCATTAAAGAAATGATGCCTATTATCGTTACCCACTTAAAAGTGCTCGACGAAAACCTCGGCTATTATTTTTCGTCAATGAGCACAAAATGTATGATCGGATTCGAAATACATTCATAAATGTTTCTTCTAATATTGGACTTCAGTTATGTGTAAAATAAGAATTGGCCACCATTTCTTGTGATCGAAGGCTCAAATTAATGCATTCGATGGTACCCATTGATATATTTTAGATTTCAATACAAAAGGAACATCACGCATTAGCTAAAAAGGCTTTATCAGTTTTATTGGAACTTTCTACTTCTTATTTATGTGAATAATGTTCTCAACCCGAAATAACATAAAAAATAAGAAGCGAAATTGAATACAAGTAAGTTCATATTTGTGTGCGTATTTTTTTTTTAAATCTATGTTTTTATTTCATAACATTTAAATATATACCCTTTAAAAATTTTACAAAGTTCGCCGTGATATTTTCATTTGCTTCTAACTCATCGTTGCTTAGAAAGGTCGCGAAACACTGCAACAGAGACTTCTGACTTAAGGAAGATATTTTTAAAAATAAATTTCATCTAATACAAGGTTCAAGAGCTACTCGTGACAAAACGTTACGGAAAGATGCGTGTGATATGAACCTAGGAGGAGGTAGAAATAACTTCAGATTATAATAAGTAGGGTAGGCAACCACTGACCATAGATTGAAGAGGGTAAGACTGAAATGTTAAAGGGAAACATCTACACGGGTGTCTTATTCATAAAGTAGCAGTTCATGGAAAAAGATATGTCTGAGTGGAACTTCCTCGTTTCAAATGGAAGAAATGTGGGTGATTTGACACCCGGAAGAAGGGCGTGACCTTTCTGTAAAGGCCTGGACTGGTTGGTCTAGTGAATAGTTGCCTTGTTAATCACTATAGTGCAGCAATGGGACTGAAATATTGCATCTGTTAGAAACTGGACGTAACTTCGAAAATACGTCATCTCTTACAAGAGGTCGTAAACGATTCTGAACTTTTTATAGTCTGAAAAGTGCGGATTAAACAGTCTCTTCTCAGACATGTCAGCAATACTTATTTTTCTATCTAACCTGACTCTTGTAAAGATAAACCATGACAGAATCCGATACTTGCTGGAGCCGTAGAGGGTGCAGACATTTTTTTTCCAGTATCTTTAGCAATAGATCATATATATGCATTCCACTTGAGTTCTCCAGTAAATTCCAATCACAATAGACATCTTGATATTATGTTTTGTCTCACGGTACAAATTTTTGAATACACCGTGCACATTAAATTATATAGCAACTCACAACAATGCACTTAAACAGACACTACTTTCCTCAGAATATGCCTAATAGTCAAAAGATCCGATTTTTGGATGATTCCAATAAGGTATGTTATCTCCAGCTGGTCAGTGAAGTCATTCAATTTTAATGGGATTGGTTGCTATTATTATCATCATTATTGACTGCGAGTGCATCACGCGATGATAAAAAATATAGGAAGACAGATATAATCACCATAACCCCCATTCCGATGGCTGTGTATCAGACACATACATAACAGCCAAATGTGCATAATATCGTAACATGTTTTGGTAAAATTAGCTGGTAACATTTCAGGTGAGAACGGCTTAGAAATATCTGTAGGTCAAGTAACCC